AACATCGTGGGAGAAAACATCGCAGTTCTAAAACATCGTGGTACAAAACATCGTCGTCGAAAATAAAGCGGCTCAAAAACTTCGCAGTTTAAAAACATCGTCGTCGAAAATATCGTGGTAAAAAATATCATCGCATGACGATAACATCGCAGACATGCTTTTTCAGGCTTTAATAACTGTAAATGGATATTCCCATAATGATTTGTGAGCGCAAGATGTAAAGAAGGATAATTTTTACTATTTCATATTTTTTTATTAAATATTAAATTTTTGCTGAGAAAATAAGGAAACTTAAGCATAGAAATTAATGCAACTTATAGCACTTAATAGAATTTTAAACCGACATAGTTAACTAACAAAGACCATTAATAAATCATTTTTTATAAAGTTTTTACAGGTAATTTTTCATAAAAAGTATAATCTATTAAGTTGCATTTAATTTTCTATGCTTAAGTTTCCTTCTTATTTTTTCAGCAAAAATTTATTAGTTAATAAAAATATGTGAAAGTAAAAATTATCCTTCCTTACATCACTTGCGCTCACAAATCATTATGGGAATATCCATTTACAGTTATTAAAGCCTGAAAAAGCATGTCTGCGGTGTTATCGTCATGCGATGATTTGTAGATACTTTATTTTTTACCACGATATTTTCGACGGCGATGTTTTTAAACTGCGAAGTTTTTGAACTGCTTTATTTTCGACGACGATGTTTTAGAACTGCGATGTTTTCTCCCACGATGTTTTGTAGCACGACGTTTTCGCCTTGCGTTGTTTTCTCCGCGACGTTTTCGTCCCGCGATGTTTTTGCCGCGATGTTTTCGGCTGTAACCATCATAATGGATGAAGACCGTGCAACGCAAAATGTCTTCAGCGCTAGACCCACAGGTACACGGAAACAAAGACAGACTAAATCTTAAGATGGTTGAAATGTCTAGAAAATGACCTAAATCGTCTTAAAATCCAAAATCTAGAAAACGCTTAGAGGGAGAAAACTGGCCTGCGGAAAAAGCTTCTTGAAAAGGCCCACTGGGTAAGGGGGAAAGTCTGTATATTTGCCCTTTTTTTAACTTTGGTGACTTTTTTGTGCAATGTATATATGTGGTATAGTTATATTATAGTTCCAAAGTAGCTCCTAATGGTCTGTGCAATATTTTGAGATCATACGAGATCTAAAGTGCAAAACCATGCATGCATATTAATTAAAACTAATATAAAAACTCACATAATCAAAATCATTTTCAGACTGAGTGAATGCCATAGAATAAAAGGCAGATGTCGTACCTTAGCGAAAGAAGTCATTAAATTCTATACCCTTCCTTAACATCTGCAGTTTCAGGGTATACATTTCAAATGTATTACACACATAAATTTATTATTTTGTTAAGAGTTAATGCCTCTATCTAATTTTGATCGATCCCATTCGTATTTCAAATGTATATTTTAATTAATTAATCCTTTTAATCTTAGTCTTTTAATGAATTGATTTAAGAGTCTTAAAGTCTTTTAATTAATTCATTCACTAATCATTCATCGAATTCAGGGAATATGAACTAAATTTCATGTTTTTTTATAAAACTGTAGACGTTGCTATGACTTTCTTCATTGAATTCCGTTCGTTTGATCCTATAAGATGCTTTTATCGCTTTCTTGATTATTTATCTACCTCCCAAATATTCCTATATCACAGCAGTCTTTGCTTACTATCTGCCAACAATGATATTTACTTAACATTTGTAACGCTGCACTCATTTTCAAAATCCCACTTAAATTGAGGTATCAGGGACACATTTCTAAAGCAAACATAGACTTATGTCTACTGCGCCTGGAATGGCTTCTAAACCATGATATAGTAAAGTTTAATTTGCATTTCAGTCGCTTCGCCTTATATGCCTTAACTTCTAAGAATACTCAAATAATAACAGCATGTAAATACATAAACAACTCGTGTAGATTCTGCTATACATAAAACTGATTTTCTAAATTTCTAAATGTAGGAATTAATTATTCTAAATTAATTATTGATGATTTAGTAATATTTAAACTGAAGATATTAACATATATTTTGAATTCCAAGTTAAACATCACTAAATCGCTATGAAACATGTTTCCTTCTACATCTGCTCTCAATGATGAACAACAAAGTTAAGACCTAAGTAAAATTTTAAGTATATATTCATTGCTAATTCTCGCATGTATCTAGACAAATACAAATATAAAAAGAAATTGCTTTCATCTATCTATTGATTAAATGCATTTCTAAATTTACTGAAATCGGTTGGAAACAACACACAGTTTCTCTAAAATAGCCGGAAGTAACTTCCGGCTATTCATTACAGGCTTTCGAAGCTCTAATTATCTTTGTGTGCAAAGCATATAGTATGATTTAATCTGAAGGCAGGATCCTAGGAAATCCTAAATCAGGTGTTAACATGACATCAGCAAATCGAATTATTTATGGAATAAACTATACATTTTGAAACACAAAATTCATATTTATATTTAACTGTATAAAAATAAAATAATTTAAATTTAACCACGTAATCGTTGTTGAAATGAAACGCGGTAAGCAGGGTTCATAGCCACATTTTAGTTAAAAAAATAAGCACCTATAAGCACTTTTCAAGCACATTTTAAGGAAAAAATAAGCACCTGTCTAATTACATTATACACAACTGCATAACCTTAAAAGAAAAATTAGACTTGTAATTTAAAATATGAGCAATGCAATATTTATTACGAGAATGAGCATTACCTCAACAATGGAAAACAATTAACTTTTTTTTTAGTTTTAAATGACAGTTCAGTTTACAGAATTAGTTTACAATGAGAGAAAAAAAAACTATGTAGAACTAAACTATATTACAAAATTTAATGATGATACTTCAGTTGAAAATATAGAAAATAAATAATAATAAGCCATATTAACTGTATTCGTTTGGCACCTAATAATAAATACAATTCATTTTTTCACTCATATTAATATTTAAATAATTTAACTTAAATCAAAATTCTGAACATTTTCTAAATTTTCATTGCATAACAGTTTTCCCTTAACATATATCCCAAGCAAAGTAATTTAAGTAAAAAAGAGGCACATTTCAGAAATCAGAAGACTGGAAATTGCTTCATTCAGTCATCCTTTAACAGTAAAAGCTTAACTAACCCGCATACTCGGAAATTCCCGAATATTCCGGATAGTAACTCGAAAAAGAGGTGTGGGGGTGATTGTAGCCGTTCTTTAGATTTAAATTTAGGCTAAATAAATGATTTTGACATTTCGATTTCGAACGAACGGAACTTGGTTTAAGAAAATAACATGATATAAAAACCAACGGAACTTAAGAAATATTCTGCTTAGAAAGCACAGTAAAACTCTTTTAAGTGTTCATAAACAAATCTCAGACTGAACATCAAAATTAATTATCTTCTGCAAAATACCGCAAAAGTTATTGCGCAATATGTTATTGCGATAGTGCAATACGTTATTGCGCAATACGTTGCGGCGTAATTCTTCCATATGTGATATTACGCAATCGGAATCAACAGCTTGCCGGTATTCGGAGAATAAAGAACTAAATAAAGGAAAAGAAAGAGACTTACTAATCTGGGGAGTGTTTTCTGATTCTAATTTTGAACAGACTGTATTAAATTTCGGGAATAGAATCAATCTTCGCTTGGGTTGGGTAGACCGCAAAAACTTTTAGTCCTATTCAATCCAGATTGGACAGTGACAAAAAAAAAAAGTTCGCTGCTTCAATATTAGAGATTTTGCGGAGAAACTCCCAACCTCCGTACTATATAATGTATTGGCAAAGAAAATGAAATTATTTTGACCATTCGATTACTTTCCTTTTATTTAAGCCATTCCAAATATTATTCCTTAGAAAGCTAATCTGTGCAAAAACACACCCATTTTTGGAGGTTTATCTATACTTCAGCAGTTACTGCAACTATATTATTATAAATATTCATGCATATGCTCATAATATAAGCATAACGATCATAATAAACACGAATATGAACTGACCACGCGGAACGAGAATGCAAATTATTAAAATCTTGATAGAAATTCAAACGTGTGTAGTATTTGGGTGGGAGGAAAAGAATACCGAATGTACCGGAATTTTCTACCGTTTTCGCAATTCTTTGACCAATAGAACGAGGTGCACCTGTCTGTACTCTTGCGCGCACCATAGGTTACGTTAATGCAGAGGAAGGGGGGAAAGCAATTTCCGGGAATTTGATTCACCATCTGACGTTGCATATAAGGAAGAAAAGTTGTTTATTCAGTTTCGTCTTAGGTACGGGGAAAAAATGCGCGTTCATTAAAAACAAAGCATTAAAAAAAGCAGTAAAACAAAAACAAAAAATAAGGGCTTTAAAGAAAAAGCAAGCACCTATAAGGGCCTTTATATTTTATTTTCAAATATAAGGACTTATAAGCACTTGTAAGGACCGCTACGAACCCTGGGTAAGGAAACATATAAAGGTTTCGTCCGCACTGCAATAAATAAATAATTACCTATTGAAAAACCAGAATTCCATTGCCTACATATTTTTAGCATCGAGACCAGCTGTAATTATTTCGAATTGTATGCCATTCAGCGTATCTGCATTATATGGAATTCAACATATTTGAAACTTTGAAGATGCAAACTAGTTTTGTAGAACAGATAAGTATTATTCCATATGAACATTATACATAGATAGACCCTTGTGCATTATACATAGATATATCATTATTCATGAAAAACGTTATATTTATATACATATAATAACCCATTATTCGGGACCTATATTTTTCTCTTAATGTTCTGTTTTATTCCCTTAAAATATTGAGGCAATATTGTTACTTGTATTTAGTTTTATTTATAGTTCCATCCGAGGAAAGTTTATTTCATATAAAATGCAAAAAATAATCTAGTTAATACAACTAATTGTACATTTGAAATATATAAAATATTGAGTAGAAATAACATATTTTTTTTCATTTGCAGCCAGGTTGTAAAATACTCTTTATTTTAACGAAGTACTTTCGAATGACCAATTATATGTGGATGTTTTGTGAAGGTTTCTATCTGCACAAGTTGATTGCAGCAGCATTTGCAGAACAGAAGAATCTCATCATGTTCTATATAATCGGATGGGGTAAGTACAAACTTCTTTTTTATTTGTTTTAATATTTTCATTACAGATCAGGAAACCTTTTAGCTATTTTCAGTGTCTCTCTGTGTCTAAACATAAAAAATACAATTCAGCAACTATGACTCCTTGAGGTTTTCATAAAATGCAAGCCATAAAACAAATACATTTCAAACTTGAACTTCTTTAAAATGAGCATAGAAAAAAGCCGAGATCAAATGTACAAACAGTCTTAACCACTCATCCATAAGCAAAAAGTGATACAATTTAAAAATAATCTCACTTTAAAGAGAAAATATTTTATTTGTCCAATAAAAATTAAACCGGTTTACCTTTTTTAATCTCAGCTGTCTTTCGATTCTTTCCAAATTGTTTACTTTTTAGTGATTTAATTTTTCTGCCAATTTCTGTCATCATTCAGAGCTTTAAATGTAGGAACATGGAAATGGACCATACGTTAACTAATCTAATGCTGATTCCTTTTGATGTCTTATTTTATCTCCTCAAGGAACTGCATACAATAACATAAATAAAATAATTCAAAGTCATTCAAATGCTTAAGAATTAAACATATTAAATCCAAAATGCTTCTTTTAACGTGTGATTATCGCGTTTCGACTGTTTATCTTGACATTTTATAATTCCTTAACTCTTACTTTACAAAATACTATATAGAGAATGAAATCGCCAAATTTATATTTGTTCTTTCATATTTTTAAAGGCAAAACATTTAAGCGAGATTTGTTTTCGAGGTGCGTTACAAATTTTGAATATTTTAAACGTTTTTTATTGAAAGTTTCATTTATCTAGGTTATGCAATTCGTAACCTTCAAAAAAAATCCAAATGCTTGCATAAGTGATAACAATAAGAAATAGGAACTATTATTCTGAAACGCTTAGGTCAGAAATTTTAAGTCACTGTTTCAAAATTTGTTTATGTTATAAATATGTTGTTTAAGAAAACCTAGCAAATACATCAGTGGAAGTAAAATGCTATTACTTTGTGACATAGTTAATATATTTGAACTTGGAAACCATTGAGAAAATAAATAGTATTTCTTTCTGTAATTGTTTTTGCATACCTGATGTATCACAGATTATTTTAAATGTTCCAAAGCATGCAAGCAATAAGAAGCTTAAACGTCAACCCGTTTGAGTGTATCGTGTTGTATAACAGGTTAGGACATATTACAGCAAAAATACGAAAATCTAAATTTATTTAAAAAAAATCTGATGTGTACACCACATGACTTCCTTGTACGGAATATTAAATTATACGCATTTTATTTAAACTTATTAGATTATTAGATTGCATTTTATTTAAACTTATTAGAGTGAATTAAACCTACTTCGCCGACAGCGCATAAACCACAATAGAATAAATGCATTCTTTAAAATTCACTTTGTTTACCATAGCGACACTCTGGCGCTAGGTTTACTTAACAGTATTATATTTCATTCATATTATAACTCAGAATGCACAAAATGTATATCATTTAAAGAATTATCTAATCGTTGCCATATGTTGTATAAAAGAAATTAAGCAAATAAAACAAAAAAGAAACAGTTTTCCACAGACGATTGAGTATTTCTCATTTAATTAATTCAGTTCTTACTACGCGAGAAGGCAAAAATACATAAAAACTCAAAATATCTATATTAAAAATTACGAAGTAAATCTCAAACTCTTATTTCCTCGAAAAATTCCAGAAAGAATTAAGCATGATTTAATTGGCAATAATAAATGAATGCGTTAACTTTGTTGTTGCGAAGCTATGTTTCTCTAGATTGGCAACAAATCCACTAGTCTCCTGTTTCAAATGTAAACATCAATGGCCGCCATTAAAAACAGGCTTAGCGGCAATTAAACAACTTTGAAATTGCTGATAATTCTAAAAATATTGCACACAGATTTACTAAAGGCATAAAATCCTTAACCGGAAGATAAAAACAATATAATTCAATCATTTTTAAAGAAAAGAAATATGTACAATTTACAAACATATAAGAGTAAAGAAACTGAGATCACTGAACCGGGTAATAGAGTGGATATATATATAAATATATTTATATACGTTTGGTGCGGCCCAATTGCAAACCAAAATACGAGGTGCACATCTACATGTTATAGCAGTCCTATATACAAAATTCAACGTTCTGAGGCTACTCGTTTTTGAGTTATGCGAGATACGTACGTACATACGTTCGTACAGACGCCACGAAAAATTCTCTTCAGAATTAATTTTAAAGCAGTTTTATAATTTTTTGAAGGAAAAGAGTATTTTATTCTGTCCTTACGTACAGATATCCCGCAAAAACATCGTTAAATTGCATTCGATAGCGGTCAAAATGGATATTTTCGTTGAAATATGCTGCCTGAAACTTTTCGCGATTGCAATACTTCCTTTTTACTTCGTACAAGGAAGTAAAACGAAAAATATTGATACAGATTTGGGGATTATATTACTTATTACAGTTTTTAACCTTGATTTGTTGAATGTTTTCCAAGAAACGTCACATAGCCTCAAATTTATTCATCTCTTCAGTTTGCAAGTGCTCCAAATGAAAAAAAAATATGATACGACCTTATTAAGGTCATTAAATAATTGATGCGATTATACATATTTAGGTACAAGCTGAAAATGAGTAACCGCAAAAGTTTAGAAGACATAAATAATGAGAAGGAGAATTATTGGCAATCTTGCAGGTAGAGCAGTCCCAAGTTCAGGTTGCAAGAGAGGTCAATGAATGTCTAAGCGTTTTTGAACAATATAAGATGACCGCATCTAAATCTGCAAGGTTATGGCAAAGACGTCTAAAAACCAGAGCACCCAATGAAGATCCGTATCTGGTACTTTTAATCAGACGCCAAGTGATTGTTAAAGCCATCCGCTACTACTAACAAAATTTGAGTTTCAGAAGCTTATGTGGTATTTCTCACGCTTTCTTAGCGTGCCTTCGTGGTGTGGTGGTCTGAACACTGGGCGCGTATTCCAGTGGTTCGTGGTTCTATTCCTGGCGAAGGCATTGCTCATTTTTCATCTATCTTGCTTCCAAATAACCTAATAGCTCTATAAGCTACTACATCTCTGTGTAACAGAGTGTCCTTTACAGAAGATCCATTGCTTGCATCTGTCTTACTCTTTCACGCAAGAGAGCACATCTGCCGTGCTGAAAAGAATATTATTCCTGGAACCAACTTCAGTGGAGTCACATTCTCTTCAGTAACAAGCTTAGATCCAGTCTTAGAACCTGTTCTTGATGTACTTTCATCTAAATAGGATAATTAGGAGTCGATACTATTTTTGTAACAGTAAGGAAGGAAACCACTCTGAAGGTTGAATGCCGTGGTTTGGGTAGGCAACATATTAAATAGCTTCACACTACTGTATGTGGTTGATAGAGTCCGGAACTGCCCAGATATGCAGGAAGGACATTTGAACTAAACGTGTGACGTTTTAGAGCGTTGTTATGTATCAATTATTTCGCATTGATGTCAATATTTGTCCATATCAATCAGAATATTATATAAATGAGTAAGATATTTAAATCTCCAGTCCTGAAACCGATTAAGATGGATTTAGAAGGGCAACTGGAATCCGCCAACCATTTTCGAACACTATTCAGGGGCTAAGAAATGCTTTGACGATGGAGTGTTTTCTTTCTGCCGTTGAACTATTCAATTATTATAGTGTCTTTAATGTAGTACGATGAACCCGCCGGTGGATTTATAACATCACTGAACACTGATAGTTTGAATGGGGTTCAAATTACGGCAAAAGAGTCAGCTACATAAAATTTTTAGGGTTTTACCTATGTGTAACATGAATTCGAACCAATTTCTTCTTGAAAATTCTCCGTGTAAGGCATTCCTTCCATTCCAATACATATGCTTCAAGTCTTAATCCATTATCCTACTTACAATTACCAGCACGACCACTCGCCCTACTACTTGTATATCCATTCGAGATGAACTTTCAATCTACCTCATTTTGGGCATTATCTCGCAACGTCAAATTTGTGCATGCCCTACTTTCACGTCTATTACTCATAATTATCAGTAGGTAATTTCAGTAACGTTTAAATTGCTGTCTAACATTATTTGTTCACAGCTAATTCTATTAAACTGCCTCTGGCAATTTGTTATTCAATAACGTGAATACGAGACTATACCCTAACTTCTAAACATAAGTATAAGTACATGTAATATATAAGTGAATATGAATCATGTATCGGTGAAGACTGCATTACTTTTGAATGGTTAATCAAGGGACCCAAATTCTCATATCCGAAAGCCTATTTTATTGTTCATTTCTAATTTCTTTTTTATTTTTATATATAAAGTCATGCGTCTACGATAAAGTTACGTAACTTTCCACAGCGTGTGGAAAATTTTAATATATCGACTAGTTGACATGGATTTTGCTTGCAGAACTACATGTAATCAGGGAGATACTTTTTATGTCATCAGAACATAAAGACATCCAGTCACTTAAAACATGTAAATAAATGTATGTTCTAAATGTACGTTTCCCGAAATATATATAATCTGCAGAACGCTTTTTGCCTAACTAGGATAGTGGGTAGTGACGATGACTTCCCCACTAATGCGCCCATGTTCGAATCCCGGAGAAGGCATACTTGTTTGTTAATGTATGGTGTCTGAGGGGCATGGGGCACTTTAAATATGTGGCGAGTCGAAAGTGCTCTCGAGAGGTTGGGTACTCTTGGACTCGTCCCCCAGGGGTTCTCTCCATCAAAATTATGGGCTGAACTGAAGTCGCACTGTCACTTGCATGGTGCTCAAGGCTCTTCTTGCTAATGACAGGAGCAATTTGTTACACCTTGTGACGATAAATTTCATGGGCTTGTGGTGATGCTAGTGTCAAACAAGTGAGATAAGTCACAACACCAGAACGCTTTGTTTGTATTTGGAGGTTCCTTCTCTTCGGATTATAGAGCTTCAAGTCTTCAAGCTATAGTAGGGCTAAGTCGCCCTCCATTAG